GGGGGGGGGGGGGGGGGGGGGGGGGGGGGGGGGGGGGGGGGGATTCTGCTGATGTTTTTCTGTTCTTTGCTGTGTCATCTTTTTTCCTTTTACATTTTTCCTTTTACTGTCATGAATTTCTTTTTTATGCCGTCACGTTTTCTTTCGTTGTAGCGTTTTTTTTGTGTGTTGCAATCTCGGTGTGGCCATGTCCCCTGTGGGTCGCTTTCGGATTGCGTAACCGTTGGCTGCACTTGATAGCACACCTCCTGGAACTAAAGTATTTCCGAATCCCGTTCACTCCGCGGCGAAGAGGACGCCGCGGTACCGCAATGACCCGTTGTCGGAAGAGGATTCCCACACCGACACTTCCGGCGTCACATCACTGCTGTTTCTACTGCAGATTGGTCAAACCTGAACATCGTTCATCAGAAAGGGGTTGCGGTATCTTAAGCCACGTCGTGGTGATTGTGGTGGTTACGTCTGCATCCTATTTGCTAAGATTTGCTCTCGGTTTCTATCCGCCGCGCTTTCTTGCCTCTCCGACCGAAGCTTGGACCGCGGTGTCACGCAGACAGGAATTGCTGCACGGTGGTGTCCACCAAGGGAATAGTCGATCTGTACTTCCTTCTGTTTTCGAACCAGATTCCTATGTTCGCTCGCTTCGACGGCGTGCGCTTTCAGCCCCCGTAAGGGCACTGTTTGGCGGAGGCGGCGATTTGCTATCTTTACGGCGAGTGTATTGAGCGTGCCACCACTTCAAGTACCTGGGGTGAAGAAGTTCAGGCTCCGTGAGATCGAAGCTTTACAAACTTAACCTAAATGGAATCCTACACAAAAACCTATGTAGTCAATAATCCTACACTAAGACCTATGTTGTCAACTGTTGATATTTCCCTCAGAGAAACAAGAAACGAGCCGCAGGCAAGGAAAGAAGTCATTGTATGGTGGGGCGTACTGTATGGATTCCAAGGTACACACGATCACACATGCCATCCTCACACCCCTCTCAATTCCCCGTTCATAGTTCTTTGGAAGCATACAACCTATATATCAGTCAGATAATCCTACACCAAAACCTATGTTGTCATACGATCCTACACTATACCTACGTAGTCAGATAATCCTACGCTAAAACCTACTAGTATATAGTTAAGCGTTCATATTCACCGCAGAGATAAAAGAAACTAGCCTCAGGTAAAATAGGCGGTTTTTGTGTGGTGGTTCGTTCTTTCTGTAAGAATGTCAATTTCCCCCGACTATCACACATTTCAACCTCACACGCATCTCAGTTCTCCGTTCGTGGTTCTCTGGATGCATGCCTCCTCATTGTAGAACCATGCTTGTCTTCCGATTGTGCGTCCTCAACATAGAGAATTGTAATACATCAGTAGTCCATTGCACTCCTACCCTGTACAAATTTAAGTCAAGCGGGGCCAACTTTCAGCATCAGGCACGCGATATTTCTCCGATCATCGACCGCGTGGGTTTCGACTTTCTTTTGGCGTGCTTTTTTTTTCTTTTGTGACAGGGGAGAGTGGCGGTGGCGGATGCGGACTCCCCCGCGATACGAGTGTACGTATCGGACGGCTCTACGGACGCCGTGGGGCAGTTCGACGGGCACAGTAGCCCCGTCCTGTCGTTGGCGTTCAACGAGCCCGCCAAGACGGTCGTGTCCGCTGACAGGTACGTCGTGCGTGCGTGTTGTCTACACTTGTTTTTGAACATTGTATACCTGTTCTAGGTACGTTAGCCTGTGTCCACGGAAATTGACCGAGTCAAGTGCTGGATTAGTACGGAGAGATTGAGACAGAAGGAGGTACTGGATAGAGAGACCGGGATGGTTTTTAATGTGAAGACAACAACAACAACAACTCTTATGTACCCGTTCGAGTATTTTTGTATAGCTTCGTTGTGGGAAGCATCGACCAATGTACGTTGCGGAGTGATGAATAGGAGATGTCGGTCCCAGTGCGGCTAAGACCGGAACACGCCTCGGAAGGCCATGCTTTGGGTGCGGTGACGTGGTTTGTTGGCGATCAAACGAGCCGACCAAGACGGTCGTGCCCGCTGACAGGTGTGTCGTGCGTGCGTGTGTGTGTGTGTGTTTCTTATTTTGTTTATGTTGGCATTTACCGTGTCAACCGGCTGAAAAATAACATGATGTCAGCCTCCGTGCGGTTGAAAACACAAAATGCTTCCAAAGGCCATGATCTGGGTGAGGCTATGGGTGTCATTACCATGGTAATAGTTATCGAGAAGGCAGTATTCATTTATTTTCTCCGTCCTTTGAAACTCCCAAAAATGAGGGGAAAAGGTGCACGGGCGAGAATTTTAGCACACCGACTATTTTGTGTACAGTCCTTGTACCTTCTGCTGCTGATGAGAAAGGTTTGTGTGTACACGTGTGTTTCACATGTGTTTCATGAGTTGGCTGCCTTAACAATTTGAACCGCTAGGCCAAATCTCCCTTTGCGTGAAACCATTTTGCGCACACGATTATTTGCTTAGGAGCGGCGTGTTGGAGTACTGGAGTGCGGATGACTACGGCCGCCCCCCGGCACGGGCGGTGAAGTTCAAGTTTAAGATGGACACGGACCTGTACGATCTGGCCAAGGCCAAGACGCGGCCTTGCAGCATCTCCTTCAGCCCGGATGGGAAGAGCATGGCCGTCACCGCCAGGGATAAGCAGGCATGGTCGGTGGAGGGGGGGGGATGTCCTCGTGTGTTGCATGCCTTAGTTTTTAGACCATTGACCACGCATCCTGGAGAGAACGGAGGATTGGACCGATCACCGACGGCCAATTGTTCTTGACCTACTGAGCTGAAGGTGGCTCAGGTGCGGTCGGGGGACGGGTCATTGTTGTTTTAGCTGCCGATGCTGCGGCTGTTTCGTATTTTTTTATGGTAGTAGTGAGTGTCCTGGTAATGGCGGCCTAACCATAAGGTAGGGTACCAACCCTACGCCCCTAGCCCACCCTCTTACGAAACAAAGCCATGGACTTCTCTTCTTGCTTTCGGGCTTTGTGGCGCCATCCTCACCCTGTACATAGGTTCGAGCGTTCGACTTCCGAACCGGGAAGCTGCGGCGCAAGTACGACGAGAGCAGGAGGGCGATGGAGGACATGCTCGCCTCGGGACAGCTCAAGATGGATGCCATGGACCTCGGAAAGAAGTCTGCCGTGGAGAAGGAGCTGGAGGTATCTACGGCGCATTTTGCAGGATTTGTGACACCACAAGGCCGATTTTCTGTTTGAACGCGTGGTGTCCACGCGCTTGTTCCTTGTTCATGAAGTATAATTCCTTGGTGCCCTTCGCAGGATTTGTGCGCAACCACCCATGTTGTGTTGTGTTCATTTCGTTTCTTTTTTTATGTAAAGACACCAACAACAGCAACAGCAGGTTGCATCTGGTTCTTTGGTTGCATCGACTGCAGATGTACACACGCGCGCATGTGTTTTGAGGTGATCGATTATTTCAGTCTGTTCATGCTGTTGTTGACCCGCGGGGCGTCTGTTTTGACGACATTTTCCGCCCCCTCCCCCCCCCCCTCCTTTTCAATTTTTTATTCGAGCGAAGCGAGATTTCTAATCTTGCCTGAGAGGGCTCAGCGCAATATAGGGGCCGATGCAGGAAAAAAAGTGCGTGCGTGTGTTGTGTTCGCTTAAACTAGGTTTTAGAGTACAGGACTTGATTTGTGACTACAGGGCGCACTTTTTTTTTTTACACAGCAGAGCAGCAAACAGCAACAGCAGACAACACGCGCTCAGCGAGCAGACTGAACACACACGCACAGCAGACAACACGCGCTCAGCGGGCACAGCGACACACCAACAGCGCAGAGCGGACACAGCCACAGCGGCCTGCATGGCATGGCAATTGCATGATGAGTAGACGTCCGTTGGGGCCGATTGACCCGAACTCCCTCCGTGAGGCAGAGACGCACACAGACTCGCGGCGCAGACAAAGCCACGGGGAGAGGGAGCCCCTAGGCAGCCCACAGCTTGACCGGGCGAGAGCTGCTGCTCGTCAGAGGACTGCCGCCAGGCGTGCGGCGGAGACCGATGGAGCACGGGCAGAAAGGTGCGTTGCGTGTGCGTGCGTCTGGGCGGCGATTGCCGGAGAGGGGAAATCGAGTTCAAATACACCAACTGCCTTTTCTTCTTCCGCGCACACAGCACTACTACTGCAGACTACTACTGCTTTCTTCTTCCGCGCACACAGCACGACTACTGCCCACACACAACACATCGTACACTTCGTACGCACGGCACACACACACAGGCTGCGGGCGGGCCGGCAGAGAGCCGCCGCTACAGCCGCCGCTAGGCGACTGCGAGGGCAGACACCACAACAGCGGGCGGTCAACCGAGAGAGAGAGGCTGCGAGGCGCCAGCGGCAAACACCACAGCAGCTGGCGGATAACCGAGAGAGAGAGGCTGCGAGGCGCCAGCAGCAGACACCACAAGCGACAGAGGCCAGGTGTGGTGTGCATTGGTGTGGTGTGCATTGCATGCATAAAAGGTTGTTGGTACCCAGCATTTTTGGAATTTGCAAAATACTTTTCGCCGCATGTCAACTTCGCATGGTCCACACGCACGCATCACGCTGCCTTTCTTTGCAGATCACGCATCACGCTGCTGCCTTCTTTGCAGATTACACGTTGAGACTAACCTCACGGGCCCCACTTCGCAGGCGTGCAGCGGGTAGAGAACGGGCAGCAGCGGCCAGAGCCGCGGCCAGAGATGCCGAGAGGGCCAGGCGAGAGAGGGAGGCTAATGTGAAGCGGAGAGATCTTGCGGAGTTTCACGCTGCTAGGCCGCTGGAAAAGTTGGGTTGGGCCAGATTAGAGATGCAAACGAATTTCCAGCAGCCCATGACCGCCCGGAGGATGCACGTGTGCACAGTGTGCTCTGAACGTTGGGACACCGCAGAGGACGGACCAGGGGACGGACCAGGGGACGGAGGTGCCGTCTACAGGTGGGTGGTCTTTCGTGTTCAAACGCGTCGACATGAACGTGTCGGCTTGGTGCATCACGTTGCATCATGTTGCAATGTTGCAAAAAAGAAAAGGACCAGAAAAATACACTGATGTATGGAGGATACCATATGCCTGGGAAAAGAAAAATGGAAAAAAGGAAAGTGGATAGAAAAATGCATGAGCAGGGATCGAACTTTGGTCGGGATATTCATAAGTTGCATACCTACCGCATATGCCAGGTGCTCTCCACTGATGTTGGCAACGGCCCTCACGTTACCCTTCTATACCCCACCACCTGCCGCCCCCACACCCGCTGGTTCGTACAGTTGTCCGCGGTGCAAGAAGGACAAGAAGAGTCCGAAGCTGTTCTCCGCCGACAACACCATGGATCCTGGGAGCGTACCCGTCGAGCTCCAGGGCCTGACCCAGACGGAGGAGATGCTCATCGCGCGGTGCTGTCCGATCATGCGCGTCCTCCACCTCAAGGGTGGGCAGCTAGGGTACGGTGGCCATGTCGTCAACGTCGCTCAGGACATCAGTACCTTAGCCGCTGCCCTCCCCAGGTTGGCCGCCGATGTACCGATCATCATCATCCGGAGGGAGGGGCAGGAACCCGGCCAGCACAAGGACCTACACGTGCGGAGGGCTCGCGTGCAACGGGCTTTGCAATGGCTCATTGCCAACAACCCGTACTACCGCGACATCGTCCTTGACAACACGGCCCTATCCCAGCTCCCCGTCGACGGGCAACTACGTGGACTGCGAACCACCGTCAGCGGGGGAGACTCGGAGCGTGACCTTGGCCCTCGGGGGGAGGGGGGAGGGGAGGAGGACGGCGATACCCCCGAGGACACGGAGTCCTTTATGGCTCCGGCAGGCAAGAGCATGCTCGAGGACCGCGCGATTGAAGCAGCCCTGCGGAGGCAGGTGAGGGAGAGCGGGGCGGATGTTCCGGTCAACGCCTGGCCTGGGATGGAGGCGACCGCCCTGAACGAGTTCAAGACAACAGGCCTCGCGTCCATGGCCTTCCCCGCCCTCTTCCCATGGGGGAAGGGAGACCCCACCGACCCGGCACGGTCCAGGAGCGTCAAGCCCACCGACGGCATGAGACACCTTCTCAAATTCTTCCGGGACGGTCGCTACCGCTTTGCATCTCACCCCCGTTTTCCTCACTGGTGCCAGAACATGCTCGAACGCCACAGGATGCTCAGCCAGGCGCAGGTCTACCTCAAGCAAAACCCAGGGGACGCCGCCATGACGATAGAGCACATGAGGCATCTGTTCCGGTCGGGTTCGCCGCTGGCGCAGCAGCTCACACAGCGCATGTGCCGGTACGGCGCCAACATCACCGGGTCTAGGCCGTACTGGTACGCCAAGCAGCAGGAGCTCCAGGCGATTTTTGCCACCAAGGGCTGCGCTACTCTCTTCTTCACGCTCTCTGCCGCCGACACCCACTGGGACGGCCTCTTCGACCTGATGCCACCAGGGTACCAGGACTCCCCAGCGGGCAAACGGAGGGCCCTCATTGAAAACCCGCATATCGCCGACACCTACTTCGGCAACAGGGCGGACGCTTTCACCTCCGCCTTTTTCGGCGGTGTACTCCAAGCCCAGTCGCTGTGGTACAGGCTTGAGTACCAGGGGAGGGGTAGCACGCACGCGCACGGATGTGCCTGGCTCCAAGACGATCCCGGTATCGTCAACCTCGTCTGCAAAGCGTACGCTGGGAGGAAGGCGGCCGAACGGATGGAGGCGGCCGAGGGCCTGGCCGCCGGACAGGGGGGGATCGGCGACGAGGAAGAACGCCAGGCTCTGGAGCGAGCCGTCGCCGACGGCAAAACAGCGGACGACAAGGTTTGCAGATACGCCGATTGGCTCATCTGCACCGTCAACACTCGGTCTACGGAGGAGCGCGCCGCCCATCCGGGGGGAGTGCCAGACCCTCACCCATGCTCCGTCAACCCCTTCAAGCACGGGCCTGTCAGCGACGAGGCCACAGGCCGTGCCGACATCGACGGACTCATCAACTGCTGCCAGCGCCACGTTTGCCGTCCTGAAGGGTACTGCAAGCGCGCTGGGCGGCAGGGGTGTCGCTTCGGCTTCCCGCACGAGTGTCAACCCGAGACCTCCTTGCAGTTCGAGGAGATGGACAACGGCTCCGTGAGAGCCACCATCAAAACCAAGCGCAACGACGGCAATCTCAACAGCTACTGCCGCCTTGCTCTCTCTCATTGGCGGGCGAACATCGACTTCCAACTCATCTTGGACTGGGACCAGGCGGTGCGGTACATGGTGAAGTATGTGAGCAAAGGAGAGAAGCGGTCGCCCGCCGCCGCCGACGTCTTCGCCCGGGCCATCGGTCGCGCGGACGATGACGCTGACGAGGCGCAAACAGTCCTGCGAAGCGTGTTCCTCAAGTGTACGGGCGAGCGCGACATTTCCGCCCAGGAGACGGCACGGCTGCTCCTCGGGAACAAGCTGTGCTCTTCTTCTTTCAGCTTCGTACGCCTCGTCGTCGACCCTTCCACCAGCACACGCCAGGTTAACCTCGACGGTGCGGCGGGGGAGGGCGCCCTCAAGAAATCCATGCGGGACCTCTACGCCGGCCGGCGCAGCGTCATCGACAAGTACCCATCCATCATGGATGTTAGCTACTTCCAGTTCCACCAGCTGTACACTCGAGACCGGGGGGGGGGGGTCACGGCGAGAGACGGCGCGGGCAGCCTCGTCGTCATCAAGCTGCCTGCCCTGCCGTGCTCTCCGGGGAGCGCGCGGCATCTTGAGGCCTGCCGCAACAACCTCTTCGCCCACAGGCCATGGGAGGATGAGCCGACAACAGCCTGCCGCGACATGGGGGCAGTCACGGACCTGGATGCCTCAGCCTCCATCTCCGGAGAGGAACCCAAGCTCGCCCTGCTGTGGGACGCCTTCGTCCAAGCCAACCAAGACCTGCCCGAGCTGCGCTTCGGCGACATGCTGGCAGGGCGGCTGTCTCTTGCCCGCCGAGAGGCCGCGTCCACGGCCGAAGACGACGACGACGACGGCTTGCTCTTAGACCAGCCCGACGATTGGATGGATGGGGCCAACATGCGGCGAAGAGGCGCCGCCAGGGAAGAACAGGAGGTTGACACAAGGTGGGACGCTGAATACAACTGGGCCGGCGCCCGAGCGACTGAGGTCCAACATGAGCTGGAGAGAGGGCCAACGTGGATTGCGAACGCCAAGAAAGCTGCAGCCGGCACTGGCCCCGCCACCGAGATTCCTCATGTGGCTCCGGACTCTCTCAATGAGCGGCAACGCAATTGCTACGACGTCGTCAGGGACCACTTCGAGAACGAGCGCGAGGAGCCACTGCGCATGATGGTTCTCGGGACGGCAGGCACGGGGAAATCATACCTCGTGTATGCCCTCTCCAGGCTGCTCGGCGGCTTCCTTCGACGGGCAGCTCCAACCGGTATGGCGGCCTTCCTCATCGCCGGCAGCACGCTGCACAGCCTCCTCCGACTGCCGGTGAGGCAAGGAAGGAATCTCCAGGGTCAAAGCCTCAAAGCCCTGCAGAATTCCCTTACTGGCGTCAAGTACATCATCATCGACGAGCTATCGATGGTCAGCCAGTCCCAGATGGCGTGGGTCGATCGACGTCTGCGACAAGGGACAGCTGTAGACAAACCCTTCGGCGGAATCTCCCTGATCATGACCGGCGATCTGGGCCAGCTGCAACCGGTGGGAGGAACTCCGCTGTACAAGCAAAACCCAGCTGCCGCGCTCAACGTTGAAGGCTATGCCGCCTACAGCCTCTTCCAGGACGTCTTCATCCTTGACAGAGTTCAGCGGCAGACGGCAGCCGCCGCCAACGACGACGACCAGAGAGGCTTCATCGAACTGCTGCCGCGTGCGCGTGATGGACAGCTTTGCGACGAGGACTGGGACCTCCTCCTGAAGAGACAGCCCAACCGCCTGACCGCCGCTGAGAAAGCGGCTTTCGAGGACGCAACGAGGCTCTTCTACTCCAAGAAAGAGGTCAACAAGTACAACGGCAAGAAACTCCGGGAGCTGGACAACCCCGTCGCTCGTGTTAGCGCCGTCCACACGGGCGCGAACGCCAGGAGGGCGACAGCAGACACCGCGGAGGGGCTCGAGAGGGACCTCTACTTAGCCAAGGGAGCGAAGGTTATGCTCTCGAAGAACCTGTACCAACAAGTTGGGCTGGTGAACGGCATTAGAGGCGAAGTCGTCGAGTTGGTGTGCGCAGATGATGCGCCCCCGCCGAAGCTCCCCCTTTACGTTGTCGTCAAGTTTGAAGGGTACTCGGGGGGGGAATGGTCGTCTCAGGAGAGGTATAGACGTTGTGTCCCTATTTCTCCCGTCGACACCACCTGGCAGGACGGGGGGACGCAGGTCAGGACGCAGCTGCCCCTTAGGCTCTGCTGGGCAATTACGATGCACAAGTCCCAGGGGCAGACTTTAGCCAAGGCCGTCATTGACTTGGGGCCCAAGGAGGCCTGCACGGGGCTTACTTTCGTCTGTCTCAGTAGGGCGAAGAGACTTGTGGACCTCATGGTAGAGCCCATGAGTTTCGACAGGATTGGTAACCTTGGAAATTCGCCGACGATGAAGGCTAGGCTGCAGGAAGAGGTTAGACTTGGGGAGTTAGCACAGAGTACGAGGGTCAAGTACACGGACATGGGCGTCTTCAGCGCCGTCGCGGGTAACCAATGACGTGAATTGCAAAGAGAAAAAGAAGAAGAAAGGGTCTCTTCCACCTCCCGCGGACGCACACGTCTGACGACAGTTACATCTATCAGCTGTCGCTCGTTTTAGCGACAGCTACTATATCTTTCTCGGGTTGTATTGAACCAGGTTCGCGATTCCTTGGACAGACAGAGTGCTGTTTTCGACAAGATTCATCCACTCAAAACACGTTATTCTCATTTTTTGTCGGGCCAGGCTTCCGACGTCTTGGACAGACAACACGCGGGTTCGACGAGCATCACACTCACCGGCACCTTCCGGACACGTTTTTTTCGTTTCGATGGAAGCAGGCTTCCGACGCGTTGGACAGGCAGAACGCGATCTTCGATGAGAGCGGGCACTTCCTCATCTACTGCACAATGCTGGGCATCAAGGTAGTGAACCTGGTGAACAACAGAGTCTCAAGGGTGCTCGGGAGGCACGAGAACGTGCGCTTCCTTCAAGCGACTCTTTTCCAGGCAAGAAGAAACTTACTGGAAAAATCTCACGGGAATTTATCAGCTTGTATCGTCGTGTAGCAAGCCTTCACATGGGGGTGTATATAGTAGCCTTCCGTTAGAATGTGTTATTCCTGCAAGCGCAAGAAGAAACTTACTGGAAAGTTATATGGCAAACAAACACTCGAACGGGGATGTCAGTTCGTATAAACGTGTAGCGAGCCTAGAAACGGGGACACGTGTCCGTTTGAACGTGCACTTCGTTCAAGCGGCTCTTTTCTGGGCGAGGAGAAAGTAACTGGAAAAAATTCAAGCTAGCACAGCCCTCGGGCAGGCCGTATCAGTTTGCATTGCCATGGAGTGAACCTTGCACTATGTAGTACATACACTCGATATTTTGGCAGCCGAAACAGCTACAGTGCCGAAAATGGCGGCGTTGGAACCGTCTCCTCGAGAGCTTTCCGGCAATAACAATAACTACAGCAACAGTGACAAGTAATTTTTGGATGATGATTGCCCCTTGCCGTCCACAGGGAACAGCGAAGATCGACACCCAGATGCTCCTGGCACGAGAAACCAAGTCTCGAACAGCGGAAGAGATAAACAAAACCAAGATACCGGACCCAATCGTCATCGCCACGGGCTTCGACAAGAACAGGTGCATGGTGTTTTCTGCGGCACACGGATACCGATAGCTCTGATTATGCGGTGATCGTTGTTACGATTTACCATGTTGTTGTAGTTGCTGCTGCAGCAGCAGCTTCGTTTTCCTTCCAACAGCAGGGCTGAACCGCATACGTACTCTTGAAGGGTTCGAGGATGGAAAAGCAATCAGCAGCGGTGCCATCAGCAGCAAATAACAACAACGACCACAACGGCAACCACAACAACAACAACAACAGCAGCAACAGCTATGGTCGCATTTTGTCTGAATGTAGTGAGATGATTTCATTCGTCAGGTTCTACATGTTCTCCAAGAGAGACCCGGTTGAAGATGAAGATGGGGAGAATGGCAGGGACGTCTTCAACGAGAAACCCTCGGCGGAAGAGGTGAGTCTCGCAGTCGTGGTGCGGGGAACGGTTCATGATGTTCGCGCTGATGTAGCAATGATGAATACCGTATATGACACAAAGATAACACACCCCCTTGACCGATTTTCGCAGCTCGATTTCTCAACTGCAGGGACAGTCACAGCGCCGAGAACGGCGGCGTTGAAACCGTCTCGTCGAGAGCTTTTCGAAAATGTGTCGTTTCGTTTATGCATCGTCTTCGTCGTGGAGTAATCGAGCTTTGATAATCGGTGCAGGGGGTGTGTTATCTTGTGTCATATACGGTAAGCAAAGCGTATTGTTGTAGTAATAGCGACAAGGGCAGAAAGCACATGAATGTGTTCAAATAGAAGCATGACAAGGGGTTACACGACGCTCACACTAGATGCAGTGATGCCTCGTTTTGAAGGCCGACACCACCCTCGTCATGATTGATTTGTTGCCGGAGGGAAGCAGAATGCCTGGAGAATAGGCCGAACTCAAGTTTTTCACCACAGACACGTCTGTGAGTTTCACACACAGAGTCGTTTGAACACCGTTCCCCTTCTCTTTGAGAAATCTCTGGTTGGTGATACCGGTTGCTTGCACGGTTGGCAGTTAGGTCGTCTGCTAACCGTGCAAGCAATCGGTAGCGTCAATCTGAGTTTTTTCCACGAGGATGAGAGTGGTGTTCGAACGACTCCGTGTGTGGAGCTCACCGACGTGTCTGTGGTAGAAAACCCGAGTTTTCAACCTGTTCTCCACGGATGCTGTTTTCCTCCGGCACCAAAAGATTCGTGGCGAGCGTCGTGTGTGCCTTCAAAACGCATTGCGTATGCTACTGACGCTTTCAAGCAACGCGTTTTTGGGGTAGGGGATGGCAACAAGAGCTGACAAGAGAGACGTGTTCGAACAAAAGCCTTCGGGGGAGGGGGCGGGGGGTCTTGTGGTTAAACATGAGAGACGGTTGCACGTTGTTCGCGCTACACCTATTTAGTGATGCTACAAGCAGTGCGTTCTGGAGTAGTAGATGACAACAAGGGCAACCCAGGAAACGTAATATGGTATTCTCCCCCTGCTTCGTTGTCCATACGCCTGCAGATGCACGTCGTCGCCGAGACCAACACCGTGGTGGGCAGAGAGGCGGTCATCAGGACGTCCATGGGGGACATCCGCACCAGGCTATTCCCGGACGAGTGCCCGAAGGTATTACAGCCTATTCGTGTCCACACCAGAGAAGTGGTGACCAAGATAAGAGCACACAACGGCGGTCCATCTAAGCACAACTTTTTCTATCATCTTGTTATTACTATTGAAGCTTTATTTTACTTCTCTGACGAGTGCCCGAAGTATCCAGACATCCACACGAGAGAGAATATATCAGCAGCACAGTATCCACACGCGCGAAGAAGGAATCGGGTGTGTATTGTTAGCAGCAAGTGGCAGCAGCAGTGCACTTGCGACCAATTCATACGCAGCATGCGTAAGAAATTGACTTGTACCGTTTATTCATGGTTATAATATTTTTTCATTCAAGTGATACACGAAGCGCGTTGTTTTTGTTGAGTCGAGATGCGCGAAATCAGTGATTCATGTGTTGGCCGTCCTGACGGCAGCGAACGGGAAGAGGCGCAGACGTGGGTTCTTGAAAATGGTGCTTGTAAGGGCCGTGGATGTCCTCTCAGTTTTTCTCTGCTTCGTGTCCGCCCTTCGTCGATGTTGTTTGTTCCTTCAATGTTTTGGTTCCAGACAATCGAGAACTTCTGCACTCACTCTCGCAACGGGTACTACGACGGAGTCATCTTCCACCGAGTCATCAAGGGCTTCATGATTCAGACGGTAAACATCGATTGCTATCGTATCTCGTAGCGATTCCTTCTCTTTTTCACGATGATGTAACGTTCTCTTTTTCGCGAAACATGCGTCGCTAGCAAGGGGACGGTACGCGTGTTTGTGACCAACCAGTAGAGGCTTCTGTCTACGAATGTGTTGGGTTTGTAGATTTATATACCCGTTGTGTGTATTAAAATACCTTAGTCTTGTCTTGTCAACTGTAAGCGTGTGGATAGATGGCAACGTATCGTTTGTATGTTGCTGCCTCAGCGGCAGGAACCCTTCTGTGTGACCACGAAGTGGAGCTAGCTCCTACGCAACAGAAATGCCGTGGTGTGTGAGCGCTGATTTAGAGATTTAAAGTGATGAACCATAAACAGAAGTAAAATATTTTCAGTTGGAAGCACGGCCTGTACTGATGTGTAGAGCACGTTTTTACCCTGTTGTGGTTCTGCCTACCTTCCGCGTGATGACTGCTACCCCACAACTCAATGTTCCGCCGCAACTGCTGAGCTGCAACATCAGCCCAGTGAACAACATGATTTGTTTTCATGAACAGGCATCATTTGGCGATGCACCATCATCCCGCGTTTGTCTCCATTTTTATTTTCTTCTCTGTCGACGGTAGCAGAGTGACTGTTGAAACGTGTTGGGTATTCTCCTTGGACAGAATCTACCGTCTTTTCAAGGGACGTATTTCGCACGCAATGCCCATCTCGCCACTGCTGTTCAGCTACACAGGCGTGCTGTCCATGTATCCTACACGATCGACCTGAGTCCAAGCTTTGCAATTTTTCAAACATGAACGTGGCCATAGCGACTATTGACGCACCTCTCTGGCTGATATTTAGTTGCTGTTGTTTCAGGTAGACAATGTGCTCATTAGATCATCTCGCCTTGGTACTTGTTATCTTGTGTTTTATTCGATCAGACGCACCGTGTGTCGCTTGGAACTTCTCTCGTTCTTATTTTCGTGATTTCTTCAGGTACAGCAGTAGATGCACTGCTTTTGTTGGAACATTCCGTTGCCTTCTCTTATTTTTCAGGCACAAGATCGCTTCTTAGAGCATGTCCCCATTTTGCATTTTTTATGGTTAGATACACGTGTCTCTTGAGGTTGTTTTTTATTCTCCAGGTGCATTAATATTGTCTCGTTTACCGTCCCACTTTTATTTTGTTTTAAGGGAGATCCGCTCGGCGATGGCACCGGCGGCGAGTCTATCTGGGGAGGAGAGTTCGAAGACGAATTCCACAGAAACCTTCGGCACGATAGGCCATTCACCCTTTCCATGGCCAACGGGGGTGAGCCAAGGGCGGAGGGGAAAACGGGTTGGAATTTCGTGGTACTTCCCGCGTTAATTCATCGTCGAAAATGTTTCTATTATTGTCGGTAATGTTCGAAACCATGGTAGCTGAGTCCGTTCTGTACACCCAAACCGTGAGGTTGGGTTTCATGTGTGACTCGAACGGGTCTTCAACGCGGGTGTCTACTACTTATGTTGTACGTGGACGTGTTGAGGTTGTCGGTTGGGATTTCCTGGCAAGCAAGTGGGTGAGCATTGAGAATGTGAGTAGAGATCAAACGCGGTATTGCGAGTGTGTGTATGCGTGCGTTGTAATCTGACTACATGTAGTCAGCGATGGCATGTGGTACTTCGAAGCGTTTGATTCTCGCCTGGCTGAAAATCACTTGCGGATCACCTGGATTGCACGGTCGAACGCTTTTTCCCCCTATCGCTGTTGACGACCAGTTTGACAACTCGATACGCTTGTCCAATAGCATGGACGTCAGTCAGTTCGTTCCAACAATCGCCTTGATTTTCTCGACCTCACTCTCACCAATGGCCAAGACGCCACCGGCCTGTCACACGGTTGACCTTGGTTTGGTCTGTTACATGGTTCACTTTGGTCGGTCTGTCGATCACCTCATTCTGCCCGCCATGTCTATCGCCTTGTTCGGCCTGCTGCTCGTCTCTTTCACTTTCGTTAACTTGGTCGGTCAACGATTCACCTCATTCTGTCTGGTCACCTCACCTTGTTCATTCACCCTTGAGTGTTTTGAACGCCTCGTTAAACCTTCTTGTGGTGGAGAACAGAGCAAGAATCGAGAAACAGGCATGCTGATCAGGTTTCAATGACCGAAGTTTATCTACATATCTTTGTCTATGATGACGGCATTGTTTTTTCCCCCCGTGACTCCCTTTCACCGCTTTCGCTTGTAGGGCCTGCCACGAACGGGTCGCAGTTCTTCATCACAACGGTCCCCACCCCTTGGCTGGATAACAAGCATACCGTCTTCGGCCGCGTCACCGCTGGGATGGACGTGGTCCAGGTATGTCTATATGTGACACCGACAAGAAATAAAAAAGCAACAAATAAAACAAACCCCACACATGTATATCTTAGTTTCCAACCCGCAACTAAAAACGCAAGACACCCTGCTTTACTATAAGCAGTCCTGGCTACGATATAAAAGAGGGTACCCTATGAGAGGGGGCTCCGATATAAGAGGGTCGAAATCGGGTTGTCACGGGGTCGACCCCGCTACCTAGTATAGTTGGGCACTCTCTTAATCCAGTACAAGAGAGGACTTCCGATGTGAGAGGGTCGAGGGGAATTGGCGCACCACCCTCTTGATAGTACCTCATTCCTCTTCGTTATTCGGTGTGTCATGTGACTTATGTTTTTGCGTTTGCTGTTGATTGGTGCCGTACAGTACTGATGCTGTTCGATTCTATTTTGTTCCACGCTACGTGTTGTAGATTTTCTCCTCTTGACTGGCGCCGTAAGGATGCTGTACGATACATGTGGCCTGTAGAGATGTTCTAGACGGTTTGGATCGATGATGCTTGTGGCTCGCGGCCGCACTTATCTGGAGCAGCGGGGTGCTGGTCGATGTGTCCAATAGGGGTAGGACCTCTGTGCTATTTTTGAGGTGTCTCTATTTCTTAGGGTTATCGAAAGTGTGCCTGTTTCGGGGAAGGGACGATGTCCCTATGAGGGGTAGGAGCAGCAGTGCTGCGTCTCGAAAGGGATAGTGCGTGATTCAGAAATTAAAACGTCTAGTTCATGAGTGAGGCATGCAACAGACTAGCACCCCCATGCTCTTCCCCGTTTGTACATGGCGTCTCAGGCGATCGAAGCTAGCAAGGTGGACAAGACCGACAAGCCCTTCAGCGAGATGAAAATCATTAGCATCGATATTTCCTAGGTGACTGGATCAGCCTGTGGGGCATGGGGGGGGGTCCGCATGTCCCGTAGTCAACTGGGAAATGTCATCATGTGCGACGTATGTTCCGCGAGAGAAAGGCCAGCAGCATCGACGTTCACTATGGTGTAAGGAGTAATAGTAGTCTACCCTGGTTCGAGCGCGTACGAAGGTGGCGTGTGCGCCGTGCGTATATTGGTGTGTTTCTGTGTGTGTGCATCGACCGCCCTAACCGACTGACCAATGAAAAGACGCCGGCCTCGTTGCGCCTGAAAACAGAAGGCACTTCTCAAGGCCATGATCTGGGAGGGTCAAAGGAGGAGGCTACAGTAGGCTTTCTCTGTTTCCGGTATGCGTCAGCAGAGTTTGTGCGGTGCCGGGTGCGGGCTTGTACTCTCGATGGAGTCGGTAGCGGTCACTCGCTGCTGTACTCCGCAACACGCGGTTCGCATGTCGCGTGGTTCGCCCCTACTGGGCTTCCGGCATCGTCGACCGGGACTCACGCCGTGTCACGCCAGCAATTCGATAGGTCCAGTAGTGTTCTTGGCTGCTCTACTGCAGCAGTAGTTCGACAACAGACAGTGTGGGCACGGTTTTTGTTGTTGTAAAAGGGCTGCTAGCAAGGGGGAGAATACACCCGAATACGTGGAACGTACCATCTGCTTGGCGGCAAGTGGTTGAGAACTGCGGAATCCTCCCCAAGAACGCGCTGTTTCGGTGTCACAATGCAGTCTTATGTGGCACATCTGGGCCCCGAAGGTAGCGAGAGAGCCGGTGTCCGAAAGAGCTCCGCAGCGGCAACCAGAAGTTGGTTGCGCAAGTATCAGGGTCCTCCAGCCGGATACAATTGAGAAGAAAACTAATCGGGGACATGTATGACCTGCTTGGGAGAGCCATTCAGTACAGCCTGGTTGTTAATTGTTGCTGCTGTGGTGGTCGGCTATGCCGTTTTCTGCGAGCGTCCTTACCTTCTGCCAGTATGTCAATTTTCCGTTTTTTTTGTGTCCGACAGCAGCAACAGTCCGTATTATTCTGAAGTCCTTTAGACGAGACTAATGACTGCAGTTCCTGGTGGCTTTCTGGTACATCCTTGTTTTTACCCCAGTTTTTCTGCGCTCCATGTTGTCCTCTGCACTGGTGATATGAGTGTGAAGCTTTGTGTTTTCTGTTGTCGCTCTCTGCCTCTCCCTTCTTCATGCACATACATTCATCCCACGCGACAAGGGCGGGAGAGCGTCATGCCGCTCTGACTGGTCAATAGATGCAAAAGGTACCCTTCCTCCCAGACTAGAGACTGCAGATGACGACCACATAGCACATTGCAGTGGATCAGAGCTTCAACTACCAAACGGCAAGCTGACTTATTCCCTGGTGCTGTTCTGCTCGGTAGGGAGTGTAGTTCTTGACGTGCCCTCCTAGCCTTTTGTTTTGATGGGACAGTACATCATTGATCTCCATTTTTTCTGTGCAGCCCAACCTCTCGCTGATGACTGGAGAACCATTATTCGGCCCCAGCCCCTTTCTCTCTCTCTCTCTCTCGCTCGCCCCCCTGCCATGAGAGCACAACTAGTGGACGACTGCATCAGCAAGAAAGAGGGGGCAACCCTATAATAAGGCCCTCTCTGTTATTCACTCAAAATAGTAGATTTCCCTGCCCCCGTCCCCCCACCATTTGGTGTTCCGGACGGTGTGGACCCCTGCCCGCGCCCGCGCCTGTGCTACTACTCCGGACACACAACACGAGGGCGGTCGCACGATGCTAGCCTTTGCGTTGCCTGGGCAGCCGCCAGGCCCGGCATCGAAGCTATTGTTCGATGCCTCCTTTGGAAGAGATAGCAGCAGCAGGAGCAGCAGCAGCAGCAGCAGCAGCAGCTGTAGCAGTGGCAGTTGCCGCAGCAGGAGTTTTACTGCGACCAAGCGCAGCAGGGTGGTAGCATGTAGGCTTGGTACAGCCGCTGCTGCTTCCTCGCCGACATCGTTCCCTGCACAACAGCTCCACCATGAGCACAGCAAACCCCTGCAGAAGCCACCAAGGCCGAGCAGAAGACGGCCAAGGCCTGTGGGGGCGCTGGACGCAAGCGCGCGAGACAACGCGCCGGATGCGCCGCGAGTGTTCGACGCGTCGAGGGGTTGCGAGTCGGAGGCCGCGCGGGAGAGGATTGAGCTAGTGCTGCGGCTCAAGGACATGGGCAGGAGGTTCGAGTGGAGGGGCGCGGTGAAGGTGTTCCGGAGGGCCAGGGCCAGGGGCATGGTCATGGATAACAGCGTTTACAGGTCAGCAGCTAGTGAAAGAGCGTCGGTCGAGCTGCAGAAAAACTGGATTGTTGCATGTGTGTTCATGTCATGTCTCGGGCTGTTTGGTTTGATGCGGGCACACCCATCCTTCAACCCTGGCTTCCACTCGCCTAATCAAGGTTATGCGTACACACCACATACAGCAGCACCTTCGCCACCATATCATTATTGCTGCGCCAATATATGGGCTGGATGACATGTCGTTTGGCTAGAACCTGTGGGTAGATCTTGCGTTCTTTAGGTGGTGCAGATTGTGCTCACGTCAACACGCACCCGACATCCAAGCCCACATGCTGTCTGCTGTTTTGTACCCCACTCTCTTAAGGGCTCTCCATGGCTGCAGCAGTATTATTGTAGATAGCGTGCCGGCATGAAAGAGTCGGCGTTTTCACCACGCGGTTGCCGCTTTCTGCCGTACGCTCACCTTCTAGGCAACGCGTTGTTGAAAGAAGCAGGTTAGCTATTGTAACTTATTCACAATGTTTCGCCTGTAACAGAGGAGGGCATCACAGCCTAGTACCATAGGCGACGTAAGATAGCAGATAGCACACCCCCTGGAGAATGGTTCATAGCTTGATTTCTCCATTACAACACAGCAACGAAGAGTGATGGCGTCGAAACGTCGGCGTTGAAGCCTTCTGGTCGAGATTTTTCCGAAAATATGCCGTCTGTTTGTACATCCTTTTTGTCGTGAAGCAATCAAGCTTTTTGAGAATCGGCATTGGAGGTGTGGTATCTCGTGTGACCTGCGGTACTTGATGCTCTCTGGTCGATGTTGCGTAGACTTCTGGATACCTCGAAATATGTCCAGTACCCAGCCGGTTTTACTGCACTCAACTGAAAAGACCCCACCACATCCCGTTCGACTGTGGGTATTTCTCGAACGGGTAGCCTTTCTGTGTGTGTGCTTATTTTCCCTACCCTGCAATATGCCATTCTTCCTGCTGCTGCTATGCATGCTACTGATGATACTGCTACATATTTGAATGGTATGCGATCGAGTTAAGAGGTTTGTTTCCCTGCATGCCGCACGGTAGAAGTCAGTGTTTAGCGCCGGTATGCCAAGAATTTTCCCAGAATTTTCACCGGTACTACACCGGACCGGCGCTATTAAAATTTCAAAGCGTTGAGAATGACTTGGGGGATTCAGTGTACGCCCGCCGAAAACACCGGCACTGTACTGGACACCGGCCCTACGGTAGGTTGTACCTTGGGTATCACACCCCCTGGAGTGATTGTCAAAGCTCGATTACTCCACGACGAAGAGCATGCCGAAACATTCAAGCATTCGTTTTCGGAAAGCTCTCGACGAGACGGTTCCAACTCCGCCATGTTCGACACGGTCACTGCCTATCCTGCCGAGATAACGAATTTCGAAAAGTCGGTCCAAGGGGTGTGGTATCTTCCGCAATCTACGGTTTTGTAGTGGTCCCTCTCGAAAGAGGTCGCATAACAGTCGTGCCATGGGGGCTAGCCCGGTCTTACACCCGTAGGTCGCATGATCTACAACACCACGTGGACCAAGTTGTAACGTTCCATTACTCCATGACGAAGAGGGTATTAAAGCCAAACGATGGTACGTTTTCCGGAAAGCTCTCGGCGAGACGGATCCGCCGCCATTTTCGGCCGCTGTTCTTGCGGCAGAGTAGTCGGGATTTCAGGACCGGTTTCTGGGGTGTCGTGTCTTATGTCACCAACGGTTGTCACACTATTTGTTTTTGCCGATTGCACAAGGAACCGATGCCGCCGCTGCGGTGGTTGCGTTGCAGAAGTTGTGCGATCAGCTGACGGTCAAGAATGCCGCCCATGAACCGTCACGAACGGTACCTATAACCTCCGGTATTGTAGCACGCCGCTACTCCATAGTGTCGTGCAGTTTTTTGGCAACGCTACACGTTATTTTGATATGAAGACAACCACAACGACACCCACCAGCAGCAACAGCAGCAACAGCAGCAACAGCAGCAACAGCAGTAACAGCAAAAACCCATGACAGTTGCATGAACACAGCAGCGAAGTATCACAATCATCCACACAAACGCGTGTGCCAACACCACGCCCAACTATCCACGAACAACATCACCGAAACGATGACGACAACAACAGTGCATCATTACAACAGCGAATGGCCATCACCATCATCAAGGAAGCTTGTGCCAACACCACACCCAACTGTACTCACGAACAGCAACAACCACCGCACCCCAACAAACAACAGTAGTGGCATCATCCTACTCACGAGCAACAGCACTAACAACCACCCCATCAACCCTCATTAACAGTACAGTGCAGGTCCCTGTTGAGTGCCGGAGTGTGCGCAAAAATTTCACCGGCACTATACCGGACACCGGCACTATTCAAAGTACAGAACGACTTGATATTCCAGTGTGTGCGAGCCAAAAACACCGGCACTATACCGGCAACCGACACTATTCAACCGGCACTAAACAGGGACCTCTACTGTAGTCGCATCATCCCCCACCGATGACAACACCCACCGATGACAACACAACAGTTGCATCATCAGCGTGGTGGCCAAGAGCGGGCGATGGTCGGAGGCCGTGGAGCTCCTGCAAGAGGCCAAGGAAGACCCCGCGGGCCTCGACCCCAACAAGTACTGCTACACCGCGGCCGTCAGCGCCTGCGCCCGGGGCAGGAACTGGGAGCTGGCCCTGGCCCTGCTGGACGAGATGCGGGAGGCCGGGCTGTCGCCCGACCACTTCACGTACGGCTCGGCCGTAAGCGCGATGGCGAGGACGGGGCAATGGCGGCGTGCGCTTGGCCTGCTGCGGCGGATGGCCGGGGAGGGTCTGCGGCCGAACGTCGTGTGCTACGGGGCCGCCGTCGACGCTTGCGCTAAGGGGGGGCAGTGGGAGAGGGCAGTGGGGCTCCTCCAGGAGATGGGAGACGCTGGGGTTGAGCCTGACAGGTGGGGAGGATGCGGGGGGGGCGATCGATGATGCCATGAAGAGGAGATACGCTAGATCGTTTCCCGGCAGCGTGAATGAACCACGAAGCAACAATCAAAACTCTGACGCAACACGGATGGGAGGGGGGTGTACTCGTTTCTGAAAAACATGTTGTCCTTCAAGTGGGGAGGAGTCCTCAAGATACCACCTGTTCAGGGCAGCTGGGAAATGAGACTGCCCAAATAACACGGCGATACGCGCGTAGTTCCTTTCTAGTGTACGACTGCGTACCATCTCTTGCGCCCCTTCGGTATGTCGGCCGGCGTGACCGATATTCTCCCGTATTTGTCATGTCCTCTTCTTTTTGTCGGGCAGGATCTGCTATTTACAACGTGGCGATAAACGTGTCTCTCTCTCGCGCCCCTTTCGTTAGAACCTGCCGAGTGTCGGGCGGCTTGACCGATATTCTCCCGCATTTGTTTTCGTTCTTGTTTTCTTCCACAGGATCTGCTACAACGCGGCGATAAACGCGTGTGCCCAGAGCGGCGAGTGGGAGACGGCACTGTCCCTCGCGGACGAGATGCGCCGTTCGGTACCGGTCCTCGGAACGGGCGCCGGTCCCGACGTCGTCACGTTCAACTCCATCATGCACGGCATGGCTAGCGCGGGGGAGTGTGAGCGGCTGCTGGTGTTGCTCGCCGAGATGCGGGAGGAGTATGGGGTGTCCCCGGACGTGGTCTCGTACAACACGGCCATGGCGGCGTGCAACGAGGTGAGCTCTCGGCGTATGATGAGATTTGTTGCCTCGTGGAACGAGGCGGGTTTTCAGCCTGTAAGGAGGTGGGTTGTCAGCGTGCAATGAGGTCGGATTCCGCGTGAAAGGTGGTGGGGTTCCGCGTACGATGTAGGAGGGGGTTTGGAAAGCCGAAATAGTCTTTTCATCCTTAGACCGTCACGTGTGATGTGTGTGTTTCTCGTGGCTGTGACAAGCGATTTTGACTTCTTGCATCGATTCTCATATTGTCGACTCGGCGTGATTCTCTCGCATATCTTTATCGTAAACGGCACTGCTGTATGCACAGCATCGCTGTACCGGTGAACCGACAGATTTTGCCCACGAAGCGCTGCGGCAAGCTTACCTTGCGCGTACCCCCCCCCCAAAGCTTCCTGGTTCATCGTTGTGAAACGTAGCTTGGAGAGATGCGAGGTCTATCATCCACCGACTACGGCATGCGTTTACACGAGTACCCCCCCCCCCCCCCCCCCCCCNCCCCCCCCCCGCCCCTCAGGCACGCCAACACCTGCGGGCCCTCTCGACCTTCGAGGACATGCAAGCCGCGGGCGTCTCACCGGACACGGAGAGCTTCTCCGCCGCCGCCGAGGCTTGCGCCTGCGCTATCCCCGATGGCGGCGGTAGCATGGTCGAGCGAGCGATGGAGCTCATGAGGATGGCGAGGGACCAGGGCCTGAAGAGACCGGGGGCGAAGGCAGTGGCGGCTACCCTGGCGGCGTGCGTGGGGGGGGGTCCGTGGCGGAAGGCGGTGCCCGCTGTTAAGGCGATGCTGGCGGCGAGCGGGCGCCACGCCTGGGATGACGTCATGGGGTTCCTTGCCGATGCTCAGGCNGGGGGGGGGGGGGGGGGGGGGGGGGGGGGGGGGGGGGGGGGGGGGGCGTTGCCAGCCGGCACCGGGGTTCCGCGAGATGGGCGGGAGAGGGAGGCCGATGGAGGTGCTGCGACTACAGTGGTTCCGGATGATGACAGGCGAGAAGAAGACGCCGCGCAGACCGGCCTCAATGGTTCCAGCAGTGGCGGTGGTAAGAGCGGCGGCGACGGCGGCCGGAAAGCCGGGAGTATTGGCCGTCCCGAAGGCGTTGCAAGCCAAAAGGCACTGCCAGCGGGGTTGGCATCGCTACCGCCATCATCAGTGACAGCAGAGAGGACAGCCAGAAGAGGAAGCGCAAGGCAGACGAATGGCGACAGCTGTAGTAGCAGCAGTCTTGTCTCCTCCGGCACACCGACCGTCAGCCTTACAAGCGAGGAGGAGGCCTTGTCGACGGGATTGGCATCACCACCGCCGCCACCATCAGCTGCAGCAGAGGGGACACCAAGAAGAGGGAGCAACAAGCAGGCTAACGGCAACAACAACAGCAGCAGCAGCACTCTTGTACCCTCAGACACACCTAACGCAGGCAACGACGCCACCCGTAGTCGCTCGGAAACCCGAAGAGTGTGCTCCCACGAAGCCGCCGCAAGCAGTGGCCATGGAAAAATACCCGCCAAGGGGTCTCCGCAGATGGGAGACAAGGGGCTCCGCGACGAGGACGAGGAGGTGGGGCTGGGGGGTCGAGCATCACCGGCGAGGCCACGACCAGGGAAGAAGACGACGGGAGCAGTGACGGCTGCGGCAACGGCGGCGTCGTTGAAGCTGGGTGCGGCACTCGCGGCCGCGGCGGTGGACCAGGCCTCGTAGATCTGACTGGGCGTCGGAGACATGACCCGATGGAGATCTAAGCGAACATCGGAGGTTCGCCCACGCGTCGTGGGCCTGAGCGGTCGTCGAGATTCACCCACGCGTCGGAGATCTGGCTTGGCTTCGGAGGTCTGACCAGCCGTCGTTCGTTAATGACCCGCAAGGACCGATAAGGACGGGTCTCGGGTACTCTCTTTTACTTGGCGAAGGATTGTGCGGGCCGTCGAGCTATTTTTGGTCCCGAATTGGTTCCGTCTTTGACCCTGGGAGGAACAAATAAAAATCGGGAGTTTGGTTTTTGTTTTTTACCCAAGCATGGCATTTTTGTGTTTTGACCTTCTGGAGCAGTGTTGTCGTGGCGGGGCTTTTGAGAGGAAGTCGGCTTTTTTTGTCGTTTTATTGGCTGACTGATGTGTGAAAAATCACCCCCGAACGCGTGACGATGAGACGAGAACCGAAGCAGGATGGGCACATGCGCGGCAAATGAGCGTGGTACCCCGTGTTCCGATCTTGTATGTTTTGTTCAGGTCTTACATGGTACTGATGTGTCTTTTATGTATGTGGCATCGTTGACTCCACAAGTAGGGTTGTTTTCCGTTGTACGAGTGGGGTAATTTGTGGTGGGTTTCCAGTTGATGTGAGAGTCCACCCGCATGCTGTGTTGAGGTAAGAGAAACAGGCAGAGAGGAAGAGAGAGAGAGAACACCGACCGGTGCTTGGGTCACATGACGCGGAGGAAACGGGATTATTTTTGTGTAGCCATCCATGCCGACCGCCGAATCTCATGTACACCTTTAGACTCGCGGGTGAAAGCAATGTACCACATGTCAAGCCCTTTCGCGAAGGAACAATACAAAACCCGGCAGAGAGATGGCGATGCAATGTCACTCTCCTTTTTTTTCGCCCCTCCTGTGTTGGTTTGTCTCAACTATGATTCCTTGCCCAGGAAGGGAACGACGGATGGAGTACGAGCGCTACAGAGGGGGAGGTTGTCAGAAGCGGGAGTTACCGTTGCTACTTTAGCTGCTGACCACTTTCAGTACCCGTACGCCTTGTATTCCCGGTTTGTAACCAATAAGAAAGAACCGGTTGACTGGGTCTACCAACAGAAACAGTGCCCTCGGGTGCTCGACTGCTTTTCCTGCCTCACTTCAGCATACTCGACTGCTAGATTACCGGAGTTGGATTTTCTACTTGAGATTTGAGAAACATCTTCGCCGGAGAGACCACAACGTCTGCCGCAAGCCACATTCGACAGCAGATATAGCACGGGGCCGCTTTCGCGAGGACACCGAGTGGGATTCCGTATCCCAAACCGTAACGCTGATCCTAACCCCCAACCCAGTTCTTTAACCCCTACTGGATATCGTCTTCGTTGGCCATTGATCATGATCATCGCTGCCGGGGCCCCGCCGTTTCTGCGTCCGTGGGGGTGCGGCCTCGCAGAATCTTCCCCGGGGCCGGGTACGGCCGCTGCTGCCACAAAGGCCCGCTCGCCGTACTGTCGGCCATCCTCTCGCCCACCTGCAAAAAAAAAAAACATCGTCAAGTGGTATCCACACAAAACCTCTCGCCCACTTGCAAAATACAAAAAATATCTCGTGAGTTGGTATCAACACAAACAGAAGGGAACCCCATGTGTTTTCAAGACATGCTTTATGCGTCGGCAAAACAGAAGCCTCTGATGCAGAACGAAAAAAAAAAAAGGCCGCCAGGAGGTTCAGAACCGAAATAACCTTGCTGCACTTTAATAGGCTGTGGAACCCGCGAGCCTTGTGGCCATTGGCGGAGGAGGACAAACGTGATTGGTTGGCAAGGCGAACAAGCGTAACGCTCACGTCAAAAAAGAAGAAAAAAAAACACCCACTAGCACCACGCACACAGACGAAACGTCGGAAGTCAAATACAAAAAAACACAGGATGCACAGACCTCGGCGCCACACGCGACTTACTCCAAGTTAGTCATCGTACAACACCATAATTTCATGATTTCAGTGATTATTCACTACGGACTCTTTATCTGCTGTGGAAGAAATGGATTTGTGGTGTTCTTGGTACGAAAAAAAAAAAAAGGAGGTGCCAACTCCGATCGCCGGAGGATGTTGGCAAGGAAAACAAACACGCATGGTAACGGCAGACGATCACGCCGCACGCGCAAGAAAATGAACTTTAAAACAGGGTGAAAGTTACCCAATCAGGGCAAAAGTTACTCAAACAGGGCAAGAAAACGCCAGGCGCCAACTCCGACCCGTCCATTGCTGTCTGCTTCGTCCTACAATGGTCTACATTTTTTTCGTTTTACCTGGACGAGCCCGTCTGACCACTTTCCACCCGTCTTGCCGGTTGGATCCAATGGATCTATTTCCCAGGATCCTCGGCCTTTCTTCTTGGGCCTGTTGCTGTCGCCTCGATTGCGCCCCTCGCTGAACAAAATGACACGGGAAAAAAAGTCAGTGACGTCTTCTCCGCTCTGGAAGGGCACCAAAATCGTGTTGCCCCGCAGGATATGAAAGAATCAGGGGGGCGTCCGCGTGTTTCGCATGCCTTTGTTGCTCAAACCGTTGACCATGCGTGCTTGAGAGGACGGAGCATTGTTACCACAGGACCGATCACCGATGGCCAATAGTTCCTTTCCTACTTTGTCAAGGGTGGCTCAAAAACGTTCGATGGCGGGCGGGCGTAATCAACAACGCAAAAAGGACATCTCCCAGCTTGAAAGGCACACTTAACTGCAGAAAGAAACACGGGTGTCCTAAAGGCGGAGGAGCAACTGCACACCCAAGTACCCCCGCGTCGCTCCTACCCTTACTCTACCGACCACCTCACCTGCCGCGGGCACTCGATGCTGCACCCCCCCCCCCCC